GAAAAAAAAAAAAAAAAAAAAAAAAAAAGTAATACTGAATATTAGGGGTAACACAGGTGCACTAGAGAAAAGTATTACTAGACAGGAGCACTGAAGCTGAAACCAAATTCCAAATTCAAATTCTAGTTTCAAAATATATTAGGTGTGTAACCTTGTGTGTGTTACTTAACCTCTGTGTGTCTCAGTTTTCTCATCTATGAAATGGACAAAATAATAGTACCTATCTTATAGGGTTGTGAAAGACCAAATGAGTTAAAAACACATAAAGCATTTATAACAGTGCCTCACACACAGTAAGTGCTATACAAGTGCTCACATATTATTATTATAATTATTATATTGCATATTCAGTACCTAGCATAGTACTTAATATTGTAGACTAAGTTGAAAATATATTAATATTTCCTTTTATATTTGAGCATTTTTTTGTCTTTGTCATTCACAGAAAAGCTTTCCAAAAGATGTGAGTCCTTTAAAAAACAAACAGCTAGGCATAATTGTTATGTAGAGTTAACTGTACAATGTGAAAATGGAGATAATTACAACATCAAGCTCAGAATGTGCAAAATTCCTAATAAGCAGAAGCTATAGTTTTCATACGGGTGTTGATAATTCCCTTCACATCTGAAGGATTGTCTTGAGGAAGGCAAATTATATTTTCTGTGGGTGATTATATTTTGTTTTAAGAGAAGAGAGAATTTCGAAACAAAATTTTTTGAAACAAACAATTCTGAAAACAAAACAAAACAAGAAAACTAGATGGGCTAGGCAATAGTATGGCATCTACATTCCTTTGCAGAATTTTGCCATTTATCATTTTGCAGGTGAACATCCACAAATTTTATCATACGTAAAATTATTATTAGAATACTTAAGGTGTTCTCTTTTGTGTTTGAAGGACATATATAGAAAAATCTTTTTCACCTCATAAACACACACATCGCCCCAAACCTCAACCTCTGTTCACTACCAGCTCATTGAAAGAAAGAATGAGAGCAAAATAAGTGTGCATATGTATGTGTGTTAGAGAGAGAGAGAGAGAGAGAGAGAGAGAGAGAGAGAGAGAGAGAGGGGAGAGGGGAGAGGGAAAATAAATGAATGAAATAAAGGATAACTCTAACAGACTATTGAAAATACTTTCTGTTATATTTAAGGTGGATTTTACTGCAGTATTTGTGCACTGTTCTTTAAAAGAAAAAAAAAAGGTTTTATAAAAGTTGACTCATTTAGTATAAGGCTGTTAAAATCATTTGGTAAATTATTTCCCATTGAGAAAATATAAATAAAGTATATAAGAAGATACTCTGCTTCTGCCGCAGGTTTCTATTTAAAATGATTTATAGTCTGCNGGTGTTGATAATTCCCTTCACATCTGAAGGATTGTCTTGAGGAAGGCAAATTATATTTTCTCTGGGTGATTATATTTTGTTTTAAGAGAAGAGAGAATTTTGAAACAAAATTTTTTGAAACAAACAATTCTGAAAACAAAACAAAACAAGAAAACTAGATAGGCTAGGCAATAGTATGGCATCTACATTCCTTTGCAGAATTTTGCCATTTATCATTTTGCAGGTGAACATCCACAAATTTTATCATACGTAAAATTATTATTAGAATACTTAAGGTGTTCTCTTTTGTGTTTGAAGGACATATATAGAAAAATATTTTCCACCCCATAAACACACACATCGCCCCAAACCTCAACCTCTGTTCACTACCAGCTCATTGAAAGAAAGAATGAGAGCAAAATAAGTGTGCATAAGTATGTGTGTTGAGAGAGAGAGAGAGAGAGAGAGAGAGAGGGGAGAGGGGAGAGGGAAAATAAATGAATGAAATAAAGGATAACTCTAACAGACTATTGAAAATACTTTCTGTTATATTTAAGGTGGATTTTACTGCAGTATTTGTGCACTGTTCTTTAAAAGAAAAAAAAAGGTTTTATAAAAGTTGACTCATTTAGTATAAGGCTGTTAAAATCATTTGGTAAATTATTTCCCATTGAGAAAATATAAATAAGGTATATAAGAAGATACTCTGCTTCTGCCGCAGGTTTCTATTTAAAATGATTTATAGTCTGCAATTTCTTCCTAAGGTCATCACCTTCATAAATACTAGCCACATGCAGTGAAAACCAACTCAATAAAATGCGTATTTCATTTGTCTTCCTTCTGCTTATGTAGATACTTCTTTCTTCTACATGGCACCCATTTATAACAAAGCCTCACATTGTACGGATTTTTATGAGTTCTTGAGCTTTTCGTTCTTTTTTATCTTTCTATGCATCAACAAAGCAACTGGCAGATTTTTTAATAAAATATGTTATACACATTAATATTTATAAGCCTATGAATTGGATGTTTAAATAAACATTCACCAACTTATGCCGATTCTCTTGTTTTAGATGTTAAATCACACTTACATTGTCTGGAAAGTCAGCCTTTAGTTCAGTGACACTTTGACACCAATATGCAGCCGTTTTCTCACTGATGAGTTCAATATTCAGGAAGGAGCTTTGTCCAGGGCCATACATGGGGCCAGAGGTGGTCCCCCGGATGATTCTGGGTGAAACATTAGTCACAATGTCCTGATGAAAAAGAATAAAGATATTGAATCTCCTTTTGACAAAAAAAACCTGTGATCTTTATTATATGCTCATTTCCATATGAAAATATTTTACCAAGTTCCTTCTCACATTTTTACAGAATAACTTTAAATATACTTTAAATTACAGTTGAACATAAGCTACTTCCAAATGAAAGGGTAAAATGAAATA